ATGCATGTATAAAAATATTATGTGCGCAGGATATACGGTGGAATAGGCGGGCGTGTCCATGGATACATATATATAAGTGGAAAGGTTGGAGGAGGAAATCGGGTCACGCCGAAATATTTTTCCGCGCCTTTCCACTTTAGGTTAGGTACGATGTGAGCGCACGAATTATAGAACGTATACGACGAAGTTTCCGCACGTGTGCAAAGCACTCGAAGATGCTTGCTACAATTATGATCGGTTTGACGCTTTTATGCGCAAAGTTTTGCGGGGGATGGTAAATTTTAATGCTTAATATATATCGATAATGGAATTTTGTAAACTCATCGTATTTCGCGAATTGATTAATTAATTTTATACGATACGCAAAATATTGGAGGATTTTAATCTTCTTTAATTGTAATATAATTTATTAATTTATATGTAAGATTATTTTTTTTTATCGGTGTTAAAGAAGATTCGTTTGTTCGAATGATTTTTTTTAATTGGTTGGAATTGAATAATTTTAACTGTAAATTATATTGCTTTTAAGATTACAATGACCTAATTTAATAGTAGAATTAATGGCTTATTTATTGATTAAATATTAATTTAAATAGGTATTTTAAATATAAATTATGGTAATTGGAATATTATAATGAAAACAAATATATGTAAGTAATTACTTTTGTTTTCATAATAAAATACATGTTAATCTCTTAACTTTTTCAAAAATATCTACATATTTTCAATAATTATAATTTATAATTATTGAAAAATAATATAATTATAAATTATAATTATGGAAGAATATAAGAATCGTAATTTTTATAAACTCTAGTAATTAATAAAGAGAGATACTTACGAATGGTTTTTCAACACAGTCTCAATCGTGTTAGTGGCGACAGACCAAATGAAAACGGACCCGTCTGAAGAACCAACCGCTATGTACTGACCATCTGGACTAAAAGTAGCTCGTGTCCAGTCGAAACCGACTTTAAACCCATCGGCGCTAAAAATAGAAGTAATTTCACTTCAATAATTATTACAAAGTTAATTTTAAATATTTTATTAACGAAACTTTTGAAAGACTAATAATCTTGAACGATTAAAAAATAATTATTTGTTAAAATTAATTTTCCTTTTTTTTCTAATATTTTGTTTTATCGTCATTTATAATAAAAATCAATAGTATAATAAATATAGAAATTATTTAAAATATAATTGGCTAAAAAGAATTTATTAAGTTATTATTATGAAATATAAAATAAGTAAAAAATAAAAATCTGTTTTTGCCTTAACATCTATAAGATTTTTCTATAAAAGCTTACCTAAATGATCCAATGATCTTCTTCATCCGCAGATCGATGAGTTTCAATGTATCATCTCTGACACAGCTCAGAAGGTAATTTGCATCTACAAACAATCAGATATCGCTACTTAAATCAAGTTAAAGTTTAATTAGTTGTGTTAATATGATTATATAAGGATGATAAAAGGAAAAAAAAAAATTTATAACTTCTTCATATCACACAATTCGTTTGTTGAAGATTACACTTTCGAGAAATCTCTAAAGAAATTCAAATCATTTTTCATGTCTCATTTAAAGAAGTAATATATTCATCGAAACAAAAAATTATTTAAATATATTAATTATTAAAATTTTCTTTCATTATTTATCGAGTATTATTTTGAAAGTTACAATTTTTTTTTATCATTCTGCATATAAGAAATTGCATAAATTGATCAATAAATTGAATAAATAATCAATTAAATTCAATTGTGATAAATTTTTCGTGAATTCGTGTTACAATAGTAATGAAGAAAGAAATACTTTAGCTTCTTGAAATTTATAAAAAAAAAAAGTAAGTAAGTAAGTAAGTAAGTAAGTAAGTAAATAAATAACTCTTTTTTCGAGATATATAAATCTTATAGGGAGACGTTCGAGAAAGGTTTCATTGTGAATCTAGCGGCCATTTCCCAAGGAATGGTATATTATACTTTAATGGAAGTATACATAATGTATTACGGTGAATGATAAAGGAAAAGCATTAGAGTGACGCAATGTAATCGAGCAGAATTTTACAGTCTTAGCGATATCGTTTCCTTCGAATTTTAGTTTTATATCACCGAAATTACTCGAGTACAGCTTTCGAAAGAATTCTTTGACAAATTAATCTTTCCAAAGAAAGCATGATTTTTTCAATTATAATGAAATAGTTTTAAATCATCAGTTTAAATGTAGCTTAAAAGTAAATTAATTATAGCAACAGATAGAATAAATTACATCACAGCAATCTATGTGAGAAAATAAATAAAAAAATGTAAAATAAAATTTTTCTACTTATAAACTCATTCTTGAAATTTTGGAGAAAATTTTCTTATGTTAAGCGATCATATAATTCGTTCAATCCATTTTATTATTCATAAAAATTTGAAACTTTAGTAAATGATAATAAATTTAATTTTTTAACATTTCACAAAAAAATACGCAAGATTTGGTAATAAATTTCATGGGAATTTTCAAAATTAATTATCAAAGTGTATCAGAGTATAATATTTGTGCTTTATAGTTTATTCAAAAGCTAAAAAATTACAAAACTTAAGGTATTTTATTTTTTAATTATTTCATTTTACCCATTTCTATCGATTAAGATTTTCATTATTTTTAAGATTTTATCGAACACAATAAACCGTTTAACTACGTGTAACGGTAACGATAATGCTCAGCTTTAATTAATTCCAGATTAACAGAAATACTTTGAAACCTCATAATAGCGTAATTCGAATAATAATTCAACTTGAATTACAAGTTCCGCGAATTTCGAACAAAAGATATTAAATCTCCCTCGGGATAATATTTTTAAACAATGATAAAATCTTTCCAATGATA